TATTAGAGTTTGTTTCAGATTAATGGAGCATTATTAGAATTCCTACTGTTATGAATTTTAATTATAGGAATTATAGGTGTTGTTACACTTTTATTAGTATTTACGTTTGTCATTTAGTTTTATGTTTATGGGTAGAATTTGTATCAATTTTCAATTGTGTGAATTTAAAGGTTGCAAGTATAATAAAATTATGAGTTTCAGCTTCTAATATTCTGAATTACTACATCAATATCTAGTATAATTAACTCATTCATCATTATGCAAAAGTAAAATTGAGTTTGAGGAAAAATGTATTAAAACTATGAAAGGATATTTAATCAATTACGTGGTATGCAAGAGCATAATTGACAATGGATTAAAATATGTTGGGGTTAGACAACAATCTCAATATAACTCAGAATCAATAAATCATGTTTTTATTATCTTTCTATTATCATTTTACCCTAATTGTAATTTAAAAAGGCCTAAGATTTTTGTATAAGTCATAATCTCTTAGTAACTTAAGTAAAGAAGTTGCATTAAATTAAAGGAATTTCAAATGATAAAACCACCTGATCGTATTTTTGAAAATTATATAATTTTAAGTGTTTAATTTAGTTATGATCAAAAACTAATTTCTCAATTAAGTTTTCATTCTATAATTCATCATGGGTGATCAAACCATAAAGAAATAAAAAAATTGCATAAATAAACACAAAGAAATACAAAACATGGATTTATTTATCAAGAGAAATATGTGAGAATGAGTATTTACAACTAATTCAAATAAGAAAAGGGTTTAGGTACTCCTAAACATAATTAAGAAAGAAAAAAAAAGCTAAAAGAATCAAAGAACCAACATAAAGTTTTCTAAATCTCCAAGTTCTTATCCTTGAGCTTCTATCTAAAAGGTTTCTAACCCTGCCCCTCCCAAAAAAAATTACCTAAAAGTTGTCTAAAATAATTACATTTAGAATTAATTACACATCTAGTGATTAACATTGAATAAAGTGGTGTTGAGCACCACTTTTCATACAAAAATACTCCTTACAAGGGATTTGGTGTTGAGTTTCAACATTAACGCTCGACATCAATGCTTAGTGTCCAAGTTGGCACTCAACCTTGGCATATGTGGAAACTTCTTTTGTTCTCTGATTTCCTAGAGCCTAACCTCAGATCTTAGCCCACTAAGCTGACAGATTCAACTTCTTACCTTTTTCATCAAATTTACTTCATTTTTCTCCTAAAAACCTATAACACACAAATTATATAAGTAGCTATATAAACCAATATTAACATCATTAATGAGTCATTATTTTCCCTTATTTATTTATTTATATTTTTGTACTTATTTTAATTGTTAATTTGGGCTTAATTTCTTATTAATTGCATAGTTCTACTGTTTAGGCTTCATTGGGCCAGTGATTTGAATTTTAATTAATTCTAATTCACTTGGTCTAATTTTTGTCTATTAATTATTTCCAGGCTAATTGTGAAGCATTTTTGGGCTTGGATATTATTTTTGGACTTCAAGAGAAAAGTGCCACGTCAGCGCCACGTCAACACCAAATCACCACATCAACAACTTATTTATTATTTTTGTATTATTATTTTTTTGTAATTTCGGGCCAGACACATGGGATTGGGCCCATTTACGTTTTTAGGACCTAAGTTAGGGATGACCATGCAGCCACCACCTTGAGAACTGATGTTACCACGTTTTATGTTTTTCTCTGCTTCTTCTTCCTTTATGTTTTTCTCTGTTTCTGCTTCTTCTTCCTTTTCACGTTTTGCTTTTTTGCTTGTATTTGAGATTGCGTTTACATTTGAATGAATACATATTGTTAGTTTCTTCTTTTTCTTCCTTGATGACTCTGCATTTCGTTTTGATGGAAGGCTAAAACCCTTGGGGTTGGCTCCTTGAGCAAATTGTAATCTCTCTTTGAGGTTTTATTCGTATTATGCATCTCTGTTTCGCTTTTGTTCTTCTTCATTGGATTTCTGTATTAACATGTTTTCTGTTAAGTCAGATGAAGACGAAGCAATTCCTAGTGAGGTTTTGAATATGACAAATATAATACATATTGTTATTTCTAACAAGTGTGTCAGTGTTTCAGAAAAAAAACATAAGTATAGGCAAGCTGAAGAATGAAATAAGAGCCACTCCATGCACTGAAAATGAAGGCATCAAATGAAAAGCCAAAATAAGACCAAATCAAGAACCAAACAAAAATGAATTAAACAGCAAAGAAAGCCAAATGGTCAACTCAGATGAAGAATAGTCAAAACAAGGCACATCATGAGAATCAAACAAAGTATAATATGTGCACCAAATGATCATAAGTCTAAAATCAGACGAAGATGTGTCAAGGACAACCTCTAGTACGATATAAGGAATTAGACGAAGCATGAGTCAAAGATCAAAAGAAAGTCAAAGCATTAAACTCAGATTCTCAAACGGAGGTCAAGATTGAGATGCACAGGACTAACAGACACAGACGAAGACTGCCACGCAAGCAATTAAAGAATCAAGTCTTAAAAGACAAATCAAGGCAGCGTCTATAATCACTCAAACGCTCTTAACGTAAAACGCGTGATTAAAGAGAAGAGAAGAAGAAGAAGAAGAAAAGCACGCAAAAGCAAAAGCATGCATGTGTCATAAAAAGTACATCACTTTTTCATATAAGGACAACACTCTACACCTATGTGACAAAAAAAAGGACAAAAAGGTTCCTAGGTCTCTGCTAAAGTCAGACACAACTACTTACAAGGCAAAGAAGACTTCATGCAAGGTCTATAAATGAGAAGTAACATTTAATGCAAGATCTTGAGCATTAAATTAAAGATCAAATCAGTCATGAACAACTATATCTGCTTCAGCAGACACTTGCAACGGGCAAATTTCACAAGACAATATATATATTACTATCTCAAACCTTAAAAGGTTGGGGCTTTTTCTTGGCTAGCCCTTGGCTTTGCATTCTTAACCAAGTGATATCAAGCCCACTATGCAACGAAACCAGAGATAGAGCGTATAGAGTCAAGTGTACCACAGTGTATCTATCTCTGTAAACTAAGGAGTTTCAAGCATGTGCATCTTAGGAACAAAACCTTAGTGAGTGTACCAATTTATGTATCCTCTCTGTGAGAGTAGACCAAACACTCAATCATTGCAAAGACTAAGGTTGCATACCTTAGTGAGTGTATAATCTTATGTATCCTCTCTATGAGAGTAACTCAAACACTCAAACCAAACCTGTCTAGTTAATATATGTAAAGCGTGAAGAGGCTAGGGAAAATACTTGTAAAGCCTGGAGAGGCTTGTCAAAGAATACTCATTACGAGCCAGAAGTGGCTGATTAAAGAATACTAACGTTGATGAGTGAAGTCAACGGGCCAGGAGTTGGTCGAGAATACTCACTATGAGCCAGAAGTCACTAGTGCAAAAGTAAGAATTTACGTCTGTATTTTCTCGTCGGACCTAAACATATCCAACATAAAAAAGACGCAGTGACATTTTTGAAAATAATGCAAACTTTTTTACGTCGGAATACATAGGGTCCGACGTAAATTTAACAATCTACGTCAGACATCAGCTACATCTGACGTAGATTGTTGAATTTATGTTGGACCTTATGTAGTCCGACGTAAAAGAATTTTTTATATCCACTAGCCACGAAGCTGACGCTTGGGAGCGCTCCGATTTCCCCATCATCTGCGAATCCTGCCTCGGTGACAGCCCCTACGTTCGAATGGTTCTTTTCCTATCTTCTTCGCTCTTTTCGCTTTTCTATTTATTCACAATGTTTATCTTTGGCAGCTCCTCGGCGATTTCATGGTATCATAATGTTTATCTTTGGCTGTAGACAAGAGCAGAGTATGTAGTAAATTGAAAAATTTTCTATCAAGTGTGCCTTCTGGATCTTGAATATGGACTACCAGTTCAAGTTAGGGACACAACTCTTAGTATCGATTCCAATGATAGTAGTTGTACACAACATAGAAACGTCAGTAACACCCTTCTGCAACCAGAACAGGTTGTTCTCCTTACAGAACGGGTCGTTCTGCAACCAGAACAGGCTGTTCCAACGTAATTTTTTTTTGGGTTTTACAACTTTTTTACTTCGGTGTTCAAAAAACTCCGACGTAAATTTACATCGGTCTTAAAAGCCAACATAAATTTACGTCTCCCGCATTAACGTCGGTCATTTTTCTGACGTAAAATCCTTAAAATAACAGACGTAAAAAGCCTCTTTTGCACTAGTGAGTGGCTGAGTAAAGAATACTAGCATTGATGAGTGAAGTCAACGGGTCAGGAGTTGGTTGATAATACTCACTAAGAGCCAGAAGTGGCTGAGTAAAGAATACTAGCGTCTGCGAGTGAAGCTGACGATCTAGAAGTGGTTGAGAATACTTGGGACCAGGAGTGGTCGTGACCTGGGTGGTCTATAATACTCACTGCGAGCCTGAAGAGGCTGAACAAATAATACTTGTATCTCATTGATTATCTAGTGGAACCTTTCATTTGAAGGAGACTGTACATAGTTCTGTTTGAGTGAATCAATATAAAAATACTTTCTTTGATTTCTTATTAGAAAAATTGAAATTTTGATTGTGGAAGAAGAGGGAAAAATATTTATGGTTATACTCTGTCAATTGTATTATATAGAATTTTAGATTATTTTAGAAATGCATATATATATATATATAATAAGTAGAGTCAGAATATAGTTTAAGGAAAAATACATATTCAAATAGTTTTTAATGGGAAGGAATTATTATTATTTGAATGCAAATTATTCCGGTTACTATTCGGATAGGCCCCTATTTATAACTAGCCTAATTGTTCTTGTTTCTTCTTATTTGCCTATCCTTATTAGTTTCTTTTCACATATGACATGCTTATATAAAATACAAAGCTAATGATGGTGGTTTCATAATCAAACAGGATAATTAAAGAGAATATGTAAATTTAATTATCTTGCTTATGATAAGTCAAATCTCACTGTATATTTGTTTTTGACATGAAAGTACTATATACATGGTGAGTCCAGCTAGAATAGTGATAAGGGTTGAGAGTTCAATCACTTTAATATGACATGTAAGAGAATGATCCATGTGTTGGTCTGTGTTATTGCAATGAAAATCAATATTTGCATTATTGTGGTGAAAATCAGTATCAAACACTTTATAATAGGATAAAATTCAATGAGTCAATTTATTCAAAACTAAAAAAAAGCTGTGAAGGTGATATATTCATGAGTCATTAATAATCTTTTTGTGTCCTGCTGATTTTATAACAAAGGCATATTCACAAACATTATTATTCTCATATTCTTTTGACACTTAATTCGATCTCCCTCCCCTTTGCCTCAATAACTTCTTCCTTTGCTCAATAACTTCTCCCTGCGTTGGAAGTAACAATATAATACAAAACATTAACTACTATCTTTATATTTTCATGGAGAACAAATGAGGCATTGATTAGCCTTTGCATCAATATAATATGTAAATTATTATTTCTCAATTTATAATATGCACGTGCTTTTAAAATAATTTTAAATTTATTTTTTAAAAATAATAAAAATGCATGAATATAATGTAGAATGAAGTGTATTTGTTCATGGTTTAAAATTATCAAAAAATGTGAGAAAAGTAAAAAAAATGTATTTTTTTGACGATTTAAAACTGTCAGAAAGTGTAAATATAACAACAACAACAACAACCAAGCCTTTATCCCACTAGGTGGGGTCGGCTATATGGATCAAACGACGCCATAGGGATCTATCATAAATCATCTCTCTTGATAAGGCATTGATCTCCATGTCCTTTAGCACTGTTTCCCCTATAGTTTTCCGAGGCCTTTCTCTCCTTCTAACTCCAACAGTAGCCTCCATCTCATCGACCCTCCTCACCGGTCAGAAAAAAGGCCAACAATCCAAACAAATAGAACAACCAAAAAACCGAATAGAACAGATAGCTACAATAGCAATGTGAAGTAAAAAGGTGTCAGCAAAACCCTGATTCATACCTGATGAGCTGCAACAGTGTGCGAATGAGTAACGAAGAGTTCACGCCACTCTGCAGAAGACAAAAAAAATGATTCAACAACAAAGGAGAAGGAGAGGGTTTACAAAGAAAAACCTAGAAAAGAGATGATGGTTACATTTTCTAACAAGGGAGTGCATCATAACCTTGAAGGATGTTACATTTCAACTCAAGCTAAGAGTTGATGGATTATCAGTCATTGGCCAACAATGTTTGACTGTGAAGAAATGTGTAACACATATCTCGACATCATGCTAGTTAATTAAATGAGAGTCAATAATTGGCTCTATCATCGAGTTAAAGTGGCTGAGAGACAATATGTTGCAATTACTAGAAGAACCATCTGAAGAACAACTTCATGCCAATTATAGGGCATATATATTAGGTTTAATTGGAGGTGTTTTGATGCCTAAATAAATAGGCAACAAAGTACATCTTATGTATTTATCTTTATTAACTAATATTAGAAGAGAAAGATGATATAGTTGGGGGTCTTCTTGTTTAACTATGTTATACAGGGAAATATGTAGAGCCACGGATGTTACGAGCAAAATAATAGGTGGTTGTGCATAACTATTACAGTCCTAGGCATGGCATTATTGCATGCCATATATTGTGCCAATTTCCATTGTACCACCAACATACCCTTTGGTGTGAAAATGAAGCGAGGATTGTAGACACCCAATTTCATCCCGGGGCACACAAACAAGGAAATGGACCTCCGTTATAAAGGGAAGGAGCTTCCAAAGCAGGCAAACAAGACAGGACATCAGAAGGCCTAAAGGCTAAATAAGGTAGTTTTAGTAGTCCGGAACGGGCTGTTCCAAAATCGGAACGAGCCATTCCAATATCAGAACGGGAACTGGTCGTTCTGCTTGATAGAACAACCCAGAAAAAAGGCCAACAATCCAAACAAATAGAACAACCAAAAAACCGAATAGAACAGATAGCTACAATAGCAATGTGAAGTAAAAAGGTGTCAGCAAAACCCTGATTCATACCTGATGAGCTGCAACAGTGTGCGAATGAGTAACGAAGAGTTCACGCCACTCTGCAGAAGACAAAAAAAATGATTCAACAACAAAGGAGAAGGAGAGGGTTTACAAAGAAAAACCTAGAAAAGAGATGATGGTTACATTTTCTAACAAGGGAGTGCATCATAACCTTGAAGGATGTTACATTTCAACTCAAGCTAAGAGTTGATGGATTATCAGTCATTGGCCAACAATGTTTGACTGTGAAGAAATGTGTAACACATATCTCGACATCATGCTAGTTAATTAAATGAGAGTCAATAATTGGCTCTATCATCGAGTTAAAGTGGCTGAGAGACAATATGTTGCAATTACTAGAAGAACCATCTGAAGAACAACTTCATGCCAATTATAGGGCATATATATTAGGTTTAATTGGAGGTGTTTTGATGCCTAAATAAATAGGCAACAAAGTACATCTTATGTATTTATCTTTATTAACTAATATTAGAAGAGAAAGATGATATAGTTGGGGGTCTTCTTGTTTAACTATGTTATACAGGGAAATATGTAGAGCCACGGATGTTACGAGCAAAATAATAGGTGGTTGTGCATAACTATTACAGTCCTAGGCATGGCATTATTGCATGCCATATATTGTGCCAATTTCCATTGTACCACCAACATACCCTTTGGTGTGAAAATGAAGCGAGGATTGTAGACACCCAATTTCATCCCGGGGCACACAAACAAGGAAATGGACCTCCGTTATAAAGGGAAGGAGCTTCCAAAGCAGGCAAACAAGACAGGACATCAGAAGGCCTAAAGGCTAAATAAGGTAGTTTTAGTAGTCCGGAACGGGCTGTTCCAAAATCGGAACGAGCCATTCCAATATCAGAACGGGGAGTAAAAAAATACTAATAGTAACTCCTGAAGAGATCTATACTAAAAAGTAGAAAGAAGTTGCATAGAAAGGAGAGTGTATTGTAAGTTGCATAGAAAGGAAAGTGTATTGAGGAGAATATCAGGAAGTTCATCATTAGAAATTGTGGCACCCTTGTTAGAAGAACAAGGGGCCAACATTTTCTGAATTTCGGCTTTAGAGAAAATATCCCCCGTTGCTTTTTAAAGCACGTATTGACTATTGTAAGATCAAAAGCCAAGGAGAAATCTAGTATGGTTTTGCCTTCTCTATTTGCTACTCCTAAGCCATGTCCTCCATGGAAACCTTCGTATCCCCTAGAATCTCCCCTGACATGTCCGTTAAGATCCCCCCCTAAGAAAATCTTCTCTCCCATAGGTATTCCTTGGATAACCCCTTCTAAATCCTCCCAAAATTGCACCTTGTGGTGCTCCTCCGACCCAATTTGAGGCGCATACACGCTAATGACATTGATGGTATCCTTCCGTGCGACTAGCTTAAGGGCTAAGATCCTATCTCCGACTCTCTTCACCTCCACCACGTCCTTCCTCCACTCCTTGTCCACTATGATGCCAACCCCATTCCTCGCTCTTACCTTCCCGGTGTACCAGAGCTTAAAACCCGAAGAATCCAATTCCTTTGCCTTTTCCCCTATCCATTTGGTTTCTTGTAGGCACATAAAGTTGATCCTTCTCCTAATCATCGTGTCTACTATTTCCATAGCCTTACCGGTAAGTGTGCCTACGTTCCATGTTCCTATTCGAATCTTGGTCTCGTGAACTAGCTTCTTTACCCGCACCCGTTCACTAGTATGCGGGAACCCTTGCCTATTTAACACTGCATCCGGGCGGCGATGCAGCGGCCCTTGCACATTTGACACTGTACTCGAGTCATACAGCGCGTTGCTTCCGGGCAACGACCTAGCATTATCCAAATAACATCGTTGATCCATATCATAGCGATTCGACTGGGGTTTTTTACGCTGGCTTGTCGAATAGCCTAACACAATTTTCTAGGGGTTTAAAACAGTCAGAAATGTTGAATCAAGCAAAATTTAGATGAATTTTGTGATGGTTTTAAACCAGCATTTACAAAATATACGTCGTAAACCAGTTTTGGTGACTATGGATCTGATGGTTATTAATGATTCTGGTAATTCAGTTTGTGGCGGTTTTTAATCGCCAAAAATTGCCAAATAACCACCACAAATCACACTTTTTTTCTAGTGATAATTTCTTCTATAATTCATTTATTTGATAATAAAATGACTTTAAATTTCTTAAAAATAGTATGAGTTACATTCAAAAAGAAAAGAAAAATGAAGCATATACTAGAAGAAAAAGAGAGATAAAAGTAAAGAAATCAATTTAGGAATTAGAAAAAGTTGCATTATTTTATGAGTTAATCATCCATACACTGCTGTAAAGTTTTTTTTACACTGACAATCAATCATATCTTTTAAATTATTTTATTTTATTTTTATTTCATTAAATAAGTATCTAACATAATGCTATTAAAAGATATGATTGGTTGTCAATGTAAAAAGACTTTACATTGACAGTATATAGATGATTATTTTATTATTCAAAATAATAATGGGCAAGAATATCAATCCCTATATATATTGATAAGAAGAGAAAAGAAAACACCTTTTTCTTCCTTCAAGTATAGTTGATATCTCGACTCGAGATCGAATAGCTTCAATAATCAAGTTCGAATTTCGCACATCAGGCACGTGCTGGATCATCCAATGGTCTTGTCCTCCATGGCCATCAATGCTGTGCACAAACTGAAGTGGCATATCCTTGATAATCAGAACTTGTAGTTTCTCTAAGTGTTGAATGCCTCTGGGTACTTTCCTCAGTTCTGGGATTTCCTTTAACACAAGCTTTTTCAAAGACGGCAATGCTCCTCTTTCAATAAAGATGGAATTCAACTTGTTCAAATACTTAAGCCGAAGCTCCTTCAGTTTCTGAAACCCTTCATCTTTAAAATACAAAGTTTCACCTACGTAAGCATTGCTGATATCGACGACTAACAAATTCGGTATATCTTTTAGTGATTCCAATGGATCATCAGTTAACTCTGAAAACTTCAAAGATAATTTCACAAGATTTTGGAGCTGTGGAATCCAATTTGACAACTTTTTTAACTTTCCATGAATATGTAGTACCTCCAAGAACTGCATCTCATGTATGGAGGAACATAGAGTGTTGGTGTGTTCTGCCCTAACACTAGAAATTCTCAGGTTTCTTAATTGCTTTAGCTTTCCTAGCTCTCTAATTACCACTCCTTCATCATCTACTCTGAGGACCCGTATCTTTTCCAGGAATGTCATGCTTCCAAGACAGTCTTTTGTTGCAACAAAAGATATTTGATCACCTAAAAGATAACGTAATTTTCTAATCTTACTAATCTCCTTTGGTATGTCAACCACCATTGTTCCTCGTACATCCAAGATCTCCAAGTTCTGGAGCTTACCAATGGATTTTGGAAGACTTCTTATCCATGAATTCCGAAAGCTTAGATACTTCAAGTGGATTAAATTCCATAAAGCTTTTGGAACATTTAACGGTCCAAAATTTTCAAAATCAAGTACCCTCAATGGTATGTATTTTGAAAAGATTCTGCCCACGAATTGTTCAGTTAACCTTCTCCTTCTGAAAAATAGAATTGACCGAATGTGTGATCTTTCAATTCCAACCAAATCATTGGATTCTGTTGCTATTATTAAACGTCTGACTATCCCACTTGACACTGATTCATTATGCTCACCAAAATATTGACAAAACCCTGTTTCCTTAGCTTTTCTAAGGATCATGTCATGTATTAAGTCATGAACACGACATCCTTTAACCTTGCCATCAATGCTAAATGAAGACACTTGCACCAAACTTCTACGGATCAACCCTGATAACTCTTGTTGCGCAACTTCTTCCAATGTTTTTCCAGTTTCACGTTTGACAAACCCTTCAGCTATCCATTGCGTAATCAATCTACGAGATTTAACTTCATAATCTTCGGGATACATTCCAAAATACAATAAACATGATCTGAGATCGTATGGCAAATCATAGTAACTTAAACTTAAAATCTTTGCTATACTGTTTAGCTCAGAATTCCTCTCCAACTCTAAACTTAGATTTCGACTAAACAGTATCCATTCGTGTGCACAAAAATCTTTCTGAGATAAAAGACCACCGATGGCCACAATTGCTAGAGGTAAACCTTTACACTTTCTAACAATTTCAAGAGATATATCTTTAAGTTCTTCTGGACAATGTCCATCAAAACCATACTTAAATGCCTTGTTACAAAACAATCTGAAACATTCTTCTTCACTTAAAGGTTTTTCTAGCTTATGCACTTCAATAAAAGAAGATTTCTTACAGCACTCTGCAACCTTCTCATATCTGGTTGTACTTAATATTCTACTTTTATTTTTAGCATCAATTACAGAAGATTCAACATCATCCCAAAATTTTTCATTCCACACGTCATCAAACATGACAACATACCTCTTGTTGCGCAACTGCTTTCTGACTTCTCCAATCAACGATTGTCGATCCATGGTAGAAACATCTGCAGGATGATTCTCCATCTTTTCTTTACAAAACTGGTGCAACATATCCCTCAGCAGTCCTTCTACAGTGTAGGATTGAGACACTGTGATCAATGCATGGCACTCGAACTTTTTATGGACGTTGTCAAAAACTTGCTTAGCAAGAGTGGTTTTTCCAACTCCTGCCAAACCAACAACAGAGATGACAGTGCGCTCTTCTCGTCCGTCTATCAACCAATTCTTCAATGTACGTTTTGGACTCTCAAAGCCCACAACCTCATCTTGCTCAATAAATAGAGGATCCATTCGAAGCTTGTGCCATGTGACATTCTGATTTCCTCTAGAACCACTCGGTTTTGTTGGTAAAGGAAATTGCTTTTGGAAGCCATCTCTTTCAGCACAAACAAGTGATTTCACATCCTGAATCTTATATGCTATTTGAAGTTGAAGGATCCGAGTTTTGATGAACTCAACAGCCTCACAGAGTAAAGCTGCACATCGAGGATCGTGAGGATTGTTTTCCGCATGAATCGAGAATTCGTCGATGATATCTTCCATGCGAAAAGCTGCTTCTCTCAACCGCATCACCCTTTTTTTGATTCTATCACGCCTACCATCATCTTCTTCAGCTTCAGCCCCTTGATCTGTATCATTTATGAAATCTTGAAAGCTCTCCAGTTCTTCTGTAACGTCTGCAACTTCTTTTGGGAGATCTCTAAGCATTTTCACAGCTTCCACAATTTTTGGAAGCAAATGCTCACGAGCCAAGGACACTGCAGTTTCTGCCATCTCAGTCTAGCTCTTTTTTCGCTGTGTGTTTGTGGTGAGTGCAAAACTTTATGTTCTTTAAGATTATATATATTCAATTCTGTAGTAAGAGAAGGACTTTAAGTTTCCCTTACCACCCATTCTTTAATATTTATACAGCAAGTTGGATATATAGCAAATTTGTAGATCTGTATTCGATTATTATTTAAATAGATCAGGCTTGTCAGTTGTCATTGTAATATTGATTTTATTATTTTAACATCACTTAGTCAAATATATTTGGGCCGGCTAAATTAAAGTATCATCCACTTGTCCACAAAACATGGTAGTTTGACTTACATTAGCTGCGCTGGTTTCACAAACTCGTGGAAACGTGCATTCCAGTACTAAATTTGCAATTTTTTTTAATGTTAATTAGTTGTCACAATATCCATAGCATATCAAGCACGCCACCCAATTTTAAATAAGTTGCACATATAATATAGTTGAATATCATCTCAACTGAAATGTCATATTTTGGATTTGGATCTGTTTAAATACATTTTCAAATCTGATTCAATGTACCACCTAAGTGTGAAAACTAACTATTGTCAAGTCGTGAAAATATTGTGATCTAGCTAATCTGTTAATGCATTAATTAAACAATAATATATGTTATGGAGAACCTGCTTGGTGCTTGGTGCTTGTCAGTTTCATCACCAGCAGCTTCTTTATCTGCATCATTGATGAAAGTTTGAATGCGTTTCAGTTCCTCTTCGATGTCTGCAACATCTTTTGGGACTGCGTTCTGTATTTAGATCTATTGTGAGCCAAAAACTTTGTGTTCTTCGAGGTTATATATAACATAGTCATGTCTGGTCACGTTTGATGAGTTTCCCTTTCTCAATCCATTCTTTAGAATTTATTCAGCAACTTGGATATAGCTAGTTGACAGATTTTCTATTTGATGAATGAAAATGGACCTTGATTGTGTTAATAATTTTTTTTCGAAACTTCCTCAGATACTGATGACATGTTTAATTGTGTCAATTACTTATTAAATTAAGGATAATTTTAATTAAGATTAGTTTTTATATATAAAAAAATTAATATAATTAATACTTTATTTGGAGAATTAAAAATATATACTTTTGATCCAGTTTTATAAAAATTACAAGATAGAGTATAATATGGTAAATTTTAGAATTTAACTAATATAAAGGGAAGAGTATCCTTTAAAAAAATAAAATACAATGTCTGTAGCTTTCATAAAGCATGGAAGCATATACGGACGAGCAAGGAGGAAGAATACAATCTTTTTAGTCGGTGTGGAACTTGCAAGATGAGTATACAAATACTCTGACTTGTAATATTCTTTTTAATTATCTTATCAATAGTCGGTCTCCTTCAAGTTTAGAGTAATCTCATACCAACTTAGAATAGTAAGTTATAGGTCTTCAACAAACCTTAAATGAACAAGCACATTTGAAATGAGGATGTCATTAAAAAACAATGGCTTAATACGCAATAAAAAAACACATAAAGATCAATCAAATTAGGCATGACTTGTGGATAAAAGTCCAAATGAAATCAGTGCAAGGGGCATCCCCCTTTAATGAAGGAATGAAAGATGATCACAAATGCTGCAAAGACAAAAGCCTGGCAGGAAACCCACTAAAGGGGCTGCGCAAAAATTAGGGCAAGATCCGCTAGGAGACCCATAAACAAAAAGGGTAGCCTAGGCAAAAGTGAGGATCAAAGAAAAAAAGAAAATTTCCGTTACGGAACACATCTCAAGTAACCTAGGTAAAAGTTAGGACAAAGCAGCATCCCGAGCTGAAAACCGAAATGCGGCCCGAGAAGATCATTTAATCAATAGGCAATCCCAAGTCATTGCTTAACTTTGAAGGAAATAATAAGCTAACGCAGAAAATGATTTCTTCACTTTGAATGTGGTTGTTCATCAGCCTAAACCACTAGCCTACCTCGGCCAGCCATTCTTCTATAAATCATTTTTGAAAAAAAATCCTTTCTAACAAAACTTTTACAAAAAAAATATATGTGTATATCCCCTTCCTCTCATTCCTCTGTACCTACATGGCATTAAAATAAATTTGATAGATACACAGAATATGCATAGTGAACACTCACAAGGAAAAGATGGAGGTGTCCTAGAACAGAGTCTAGGTACACCTGATCTAAGGGCTAATATATCATATTCGGTACAAGAGAGGGCCGAACTACACAAACCTCAGGTTCAAAAAAGCAACACTAAATTCGACACGGCTAAAAGGCTAACAATCCATGTCATTGATCAATGCGCATAGATTAATTTATTGAAAGTAAAATCAATCCGCATTTAAGCATTAGCATAGAGGCATCATTGCATAGCATGCATAGGGCACAAGTGTGCACAAAAGGGTATAACTTCTCTTTATAAAAAATAATAATAAAATAAATATAATAAAAAAATCCAATCCATTCCTGTCTTGCATTTTCATGTGCATCCATGCATCCATACTCACCATGGGGCATCAACAAGCACATTTGAAATGAGGATGTCATTAAAAAACAATGGCTTAATACGCAATAAAAAAACACATAAAGATCAATCAAATTAGGCATGACTTGTGGATAAAAGTCCAAATGAAATCAGTGCAAGGGGCATCCCCCTTTAATGAAGGAATGAAAGATGATCACAAATGCTGCAAAGACAAAAGCCTGGCAGGAAACCCACTAAAGGGGCTGCGCAAAAATTAGGGCAAGATCCGCTAGGAGACCCATAAACAAAAAGGGTAGCCTAGGCAAAAGTGAGGATCAAAGAAAAAAAGAAAATTTCCGTTACGGAACACATCTCAAGTAACCTAGGTAAAAGTTAGGACAAAGCAGCATCCCGAGCTGAAAACCGAAATGCGGCCCGAGAAGATCATTTAATCAATAGGCAATCCCAAGTCATTGCTTAACTTTGAAGGAAATAATAAGCTAACGCAGAAAATGATTTCTAAAACGAACTTGTAAGGTGAGAGTTATCATCCATTTATATACTCTTTAGTTATCTTATTTCTAGTTGATGTGGGACTAAAACTTTTTTTAATAAATAATTGTCACTAATAATAAATTTTGGTGTGATGTAAATATATTTTAATGACCATTATATATTAGTCATTAATACTTTTATTAAATAATAAAATAAAGGCAATTAATTTATTATCATTAAATAATTGTTGGTAATAATAAATTTTGTTGTAATGCCGGTTAAGATATTTTCGTTGTCATAATTAAATATTTTAAATTTTTTTATTTTACTTGTAAATTTGAGTAAAGGTTGCTTATATTTTAAAAAAGTAAATATACAACAAGTGTTGTTTGTTTGTTAACTTAGTCATATTTTATTGTTTGCTTTATTCAATTAGGGGTTAGTCAATTTTAGTGTTTAAGCACTTGCTTTAAATACTTTTAAAGTGCGAAAAATTGAGTTCATAATTCAAATATATCATATCAGTTTTTGTCCCTTTTTTATGTGTGATGCTACAAATTTTATAATCTAAACCTCTATATTTTATTTAGTCATACATTTCTGTTTTTCATGTTTTAATTTGTTTTCAACATGGTATCAAGAGTTTCATTGATCTTTAAGAGCTTGTAAGAGAGCAAAGAGAGAGAGAGAGTAAAAAAAACTAGCATAAAAGAAACCTTCAGAAAAAGAAAAAAATCAAACACAAAAATGGTTTCTAGTAGTAATTCTTTACCTTTACCCTTATATTTTGTACCTGTCTGAGGGAACACTTGTAATCTTCTAGTAACTGGAGGGCCGGACGAGAGCTTCGGATTGGTGCTTCAGAGGAGGGGGAGGTACCTGCAAAAGGCACTCCGACGCTCAAGTTAGGACAAACACGATTCTCAAGAGTAATAAATGAACAGTGACATACCTCGTTTCCTGTGACTTATTTATACTTCCTGTCGTGGGCCTGAGCATGGTGGGCCTTCTCTGACATTTACCAAATTAGGTAATACGATGTTAATCGGTTGGTTATGTCTTAATCGCGTGTTGTCCTTTGTCAATCATGATTATCGTCTTAACTATTCTGACTCTGTTGGTTCTTGGCCGAGCCGATAGAGGACGGCCGATACGACTCCTTCGGCCTGGGCCTTTGGCCGAGCCGATAGGAAAAGGATTGGGTTCTCTACGACTCTTCATGGTCTCAAGCCTTTACCGAGCCGAAGTGATGTTCGAGATGCGTTAATATCTGATAGGTCATGACGTGCCGATCCATGTGGCCGATAAGACCCTTCCGGTACACAAGCCCCCCAGCCTTAAGGAGTGCAACGACGCAAAGGGTAGACGTGGCTTTTCAGTTGTGGCGGTTGGTTTGAAGTGGGCAGTTGTAACTGTTGGGTATTAATTGTAGGAATGTGAAGGATTGTAACTGTTGGGTATGGATCGTGGGAACGTGGAAGGTTATAATCGTTGGGTTGGTAACGGTTGGGTAATAATGAGGAGAATTTGAAAAGTTGTGGCTCGTGGATCGTTGGATCAACTTGATCCAACGGTTCCTAGGGGAGTGACGGTTACTGCTTGTCTCTTCAAAACATTATAAATAGGGGTGGTGGAGACCAATGCTTGGTGTGTTTACTTAATTGTAGTGTGCATTTGCTCCGAGCCGACGTAGAGACCAAGCTTGATTTCTAGTTACCAACCGAGACCGACTTCACTTAAAGGTACGTTTCCATGGCTGATTTTGACATAGATGTAGAGGATAGGTGATGGAGGACCATCCTTGATACTTAATGTGAAACCC